ACTATTAGGGTTAGGGAATGCAAACACATGCAATTCATGATCTCGGGACCTATCATTTAAAATCATCATATGGGTGGCCTCCAATCTCGGACAAATTGGATGTGTAGTACTTCCTAACACACGACTCACTCGTGCAAGTGTGAATCCCCAGGGGCTCGCACACCCCCTGGACCCTCTTTGGTCAAGCTGATTTGTAACAACATTTGGAGGTCAGCGGAACCCCATAGTGTCATGCTCCCCATGAACACCCTCAACATCATATTGTGTGCGTCCGCCCTCATCATCATAAGGTGTGTCTGCCCTCATCAGCATAAATGGGGAAGTATCCCAATGCATATGAACACACAAAATGCATGAGGTTCCTATCGTTTTCATCTTTAAATCATCTTTAAGACACAACCCTATACACCGTTCACACATTACTCTAAGTAACATGCAACATTGGCCTTCATACATTCCTCAGCATTCGTTTAACTAGGGTCGTGTCTTTAAAAACTTGTCTTCATAATGCATTGTGACATTTAATACATGCACAACATTTTAATATGGAACATTGTCATATGAAGTCATTTCATGATACGTGTCGCATCATCTTATTATTATGCATCTTCATTATCATGTCGACATCATGTATATCATAACATCATCATATAACATCATACGTCTCGCATCATCTTATTATTTTAAATTACAGTATTCTATACTTTCTTGCCTTCTCATATTTAATCTGATCTTTCATTTTCTTTCTGTTTGCATGTACTATGCTTTATCTTTTAATTTTTGTTGTCTTTTATATTTAATCCGATCTTCCATTTTCTTTGCATGTTGTAATATCGAAAAAAAATAGAAAAAAAGAAAAAGAAAAAAAATTAAATAAAATAAAGTCAACAGAGGGGCAAATAGGTCATTTTGTCCCTCCAACCATTATAGGGGTCCTTCAAACCCTAGCACAACACCTTCAAAGAGAGAAAAAGAGTGTGGGAGAAAAGTTGAGAGGAGAAAGGAGTTGTCGGAAATCTCATCGGACCACCGTGAGAGTCGTCTCCAGCCACGATCTAGTGGCAAGGACTTCTTGGAAGGAAGAAAAGGATTTTGGTGATCGGAGCTCCATTTTTCTGTCAAGAAAATCGAGAATCCGTAAGGTAAGATCTTGAGCGTTCTTCTTAGATCTAGAACTCTCCGTTGTGAATCAAGGTATGAAATTTTGTTTGTTCATCTAGAGGAAATTCTCCACAAGATTCATGAGGAAAACTAGCCATAATTCTGGTCCGAAGGCGAAAATTCGAGTTGATTTTCAAGAACGGAGGAGAGAGAAAATTTTCCGACGAGTCACGTGTCAACCGGTGAGAGGAGGAGCGTGTCGGCAAAAAAGTGACACATGTCACTCGGTGAGTGGAGCAACGCGTCACACATAGAGTGGAGTGACACGACTCCATACGACCATTGACACGTGGCAACTCCATCCAACTTGAGGTCCAACCCAGTGGACGATCCAAACCAAAGCCCTAGGTCCAGTCGACCTGCGGTCCAAGCTGACTAAAACGACCCACCAACCAAACTGGCCCAACGAACTCGCAAGTAAGCATTCTTACAGTGCATGGCAGCGCGTGGGAGTGCGTGAGTTTCTGTTTCCGTCCGTCCGACATCTGTTCTTCCGATTTTTGTCCCGATTTGATTCTAACAATGTTTTTATGTGAATTAAAACTTAATGGGAAAAAATCAGTATTTTTGTACATATTATGGGCATAAAAATGCTAGCGAAAGGGCACGCGTCAACAATGTAAGTCACCACCCAGAACTTGGAAAGAAATACTTGTAGTTCGGTGTACATGTATGCTAGATTAATTTCCTTAGTTAATTAGATTTTTCCATGTGATGAACTTAGGTGGCAAAGTGTATGTACTATGAAAAGTCAACCATGTTTTATGCTTCCACTTAGTATGTATCTACTTATGCATGCTGAAAGGAGGATGGAAAAATTGTGAACTCTGCGTTCCGGGTGCTGATGGATGTTATCGCCCCGTTGAGCATGATTTCCTATTTTTGCATAAACTGTGTATAATGTATATAGTTCTTGATGCTTGCACCATCTTGATAATATTTTAGAAATGTTATAATGATCGGCCTAGGGACCCATGATTAGAGTGACAAGTCACTAAGCTTAGATCAATCCCTTCCCTAAGAACTTAGCGTATCACCCTGAAAAATGTAGTAACTTAGGGGTATTCTTGGGCTGCTAATTGTCTGAACAGTATTTATACCTTCGTGGGAGGACCAGGGACTTCTGATCAGTTCTTACTGCTCCTAGCCGTTTCATATGGGAAAAGTGTCCCCACGTCGTAGCTTACATGGGAACGGGTTGGGTCGCGCCCCCCCATAGGGGGACTATTATAGGCTTAGGAAGTACTCAGTGACACAATCGCACTTTTGAAGGCAGCGGACTAGCGATTGTGCGACACTCACTTTCTAATGACAAGTGAGCTAAGTCAATTTGTTCTTGCGTCGTCTACGGCCAAGCGACGTATGATCGAGCCTTTAGCCTTGGTTTAAAAGAAGGTTTTAGAAAACGAGGTAGAGAGAGATTTTTGAAAGAGACGTTATATAAGCAAGCAAGAGAGAGATAACAACGGCTTAGCATATATAACCTTGGGTAGGGAGAACTTGACAACTAGTCATATCCCTCTATAGTACATTCTGAGGCATTTCATGTCTGGCAGGCCTAGACATGATATTTTTGAGGCGTCATACGCCCTAGAACTACAAAAGTAAAAACACTAGAATGAAAAGACATGACAAGGGTTTGGCTTGCCATGGGCATGCGGCCATGGGCAACACGCCCTGGACGAGCATGACCGTGACACTCAGCACGCCCCTGGGCAAGATACCATGTAGTCTTAGTTAGCCATGCAAAGGTAGCACCTCATAGAGAAATATCGGTGATTACAGCTCGGCACAAAGAACCCTTAGGTAATGAAAGGATGAAGAACCAGTGAAGCTTCGAGGAGAAAGTCCCAAGGGGAAAGCCCCAAGGAACTAAGACTAGAACCAGAACTAGAACCAGATGTCCTAGAGCCAATTAAGAGCCCGTGGGAACCTGTTAAGTTAGGATGCGATGAGAGCCTACAAGTAGGTGACTTACTAAGTATAATTTTTATACTCATCTCATTTTTCCTATTTTTTTTTTCAGGTGATCGCTAGCTACCGATCAAAGTGGAGGAGCATTCGAGAGTTGTGCGGTTACAGAGCGAGTTGTTCGGAGCACCCTTTTCGATGTGTTGGAGTCTTTTGTAAATTTTTTTTTATAGTATTTCTTTTTATAAAATTTGTATCCCCTCATAGTATTTGATTTTTATTTTTATTTTTAATTTTTTTATTTTTATTGGATTTTCATTTTTTTAATTTTACTTTTATGTTATTTTTTTTCTTTTTATTTGCTTTCGCTTTATGTCTTTTTTTTTTTGTTCCGGTTCCTATTTTCAAAGCTTCGAAAATTGGGTCAGGACCGTATTCTGCTTTATCTTTTATATTTTTTTTTAGAAATATTCTTGACCAATTTTGAATTGATTTTTTCTTTCACTATTTTACTTCTAAATCTTTCCTTTCCTTTCTTTTGATTTTGTTAACCGTATTTAAATCCGGAGAATCCCACGTTCATTGTAGAAGAGAACAAAACATCCTTTTTACAAGAATGTGTGAAAACCTTCACCTACAGACACGATTTAAAGTCTTGCGGGAAGTTCGAAAAGAAAAGTCTAAAGAGGACAATATCTTATAAAGAGAAGAAAAGTGTTGTGGAACTAATCCCGATAGTTATATGTTGTCTTTTTGTTTGCATCATATATAACACCAATTTCAATCTCTCAAATATTGCTTTCAAAATCTCTCTACCCAATTTTCTAAAACTTTCTTCTTGAGCCGGGGTTAGAGGCTCTAGCATACGTCGATTGGTCGTAAGCGACGCAAGAATGAATTGGCTTAACTCACTTCTTGTTGAAAAGTGAGTGTCGCACAATCGCAAATCCGCTACTATCAAAAGTATGATTGTGACTGGATGACTAGTTGAAAATAAAACTAATTTCTTATTTATATTTGACAAAAAAAAAAAAAAAAAATTATAAAATGTCCTTTAAAATTAATTCTAATCATTTAAAAATAGAGTTTAAATCTTTTAAAATTAAAATTAATTTAATTTAAAATAATTAAACTCTATTTTATTTTTGGTACAGAAAAAAAAAATAAAAAATAAAAATGCCAAAATCAAACCCTAGGGAAATGAAATTTCTTTTCCGCCCAAGGGCAATCGGTGTCCATTTACTAACCGACCAAGATTGGGTTTGGGAGGGGCATATATGGAAAAATAATAATGCATGTCAATCATAAATGAGTCATAAAAGCTAACCTACCAACTTTAGTGGATGTCAGAACCTCAATAAATAATAAATTCTATTTCTAAATTTTTAATTTTATATATATATATATATATATATATATATATATATATATATAATTTTTTTAACTTAAAGTTTTATATTTAATAATACATAATGATGGTTACTTTAATTAATTAAATTGCTATGTATTCTTTGAAAAATCGAAATTTATTAATTATAAAATGATTTTACTTCAATTATAATTCAAAATCAACTATCAATTATTAAAATTAAATATACATTAAAAAATAAAAAATAAAAAAGTACGTAAATATCGAGTTAAATTTTTATATTTTTTTTATAACTTTTATCTTTATTTATTTATTTTTTATTCAAATAAATTTAATATAAATTATATTCATTGAAATTGGAGTTTGGATGAGACCATCCAACCGACCAAAATATGTCTCTGGTGGCACTTAGTCTTGGAGACAACAAAATATATATTATAAATAATAATAATATTTTGAATTTTTTAATAGTACTGATCATTCCCTCCTCGAATAAAGTACGTCTCTCCTTAATTGACAGATTGAATTCTATTGATATGAGTATGACTCTGATACCACGTTAGATGAATACGATTTTCTCCAATGGGATGATATTCTTCACTTTGAGCATAAGCTCTCATGCTTTGCTTTTTGGGAAGCCCAAAAAGCCTCGTACCCATAGAGATAGTGTTCTTTGATTATAAACCCACTGCTACTTCATACACTATTTTTAGGGTTTAGAGATAGTGTTTTTTGGGAAGCCCAATACATATTACATTGCTACACAGATCTAAAACGAGGCGATGCTAGTTACAATATCTTAGTCGGTTTGACCACCGCCGCCGGTGCTCCACGGCGGTGGAGGAGGAGCATGTCCTTTGAAGTACTCACTTTCCTCCTCCTATCAAACCCAAGAAATATATATATTAATTCTTCATTTTGTTTCTCATAGGAAAAAGAAGGAAACACAGTAAGAGAAAGAGGTACTTACAGATTCATCGGGTGTTGGTCGGTAACGTCCATGGTGATTAAATCCGAAAGACCTCAAAATGGCGATGAAAAAGTGTAGGAGGCAATCACAGAGAGTAGAATGAGAATGAACATCAGGTTCATCAGTCAGCTTGTTGGTCCTTTCCGTTGAATTCTCCATTTTGTTTCCTATTTTTCCACGAAAGTTAAGAATTTGTGTCGTGGATTGATCTATGGTTTTGCGGATAAGAGTGTCTCTATGTCTTTGTTGGCTCTTAAATATGTACACATACACAATAAAAGGATTCAATGTGCTACCTACTCCTGTTTTTCTTCGAGGTTCTTTATTGCTAGCTCACCTCACTGATGGGGTACTCCGTCTCGGTTAGGTTGGCTTAGGTTAAGTTAAGAAATTTGTTTTTTTCATCTAACTTAAAAGTTCACGTTGATTCGATTGGATTGGTATCCAATCAATCCTCTATTTTTAGATTGGGTTCTGTCAAATTTTTATTTATCTCCAATTTATAATTATTTAAATAATATATTAAAACTTTGTAAACAAACACATAATTTTTTCGTTTATTGGGGCGATGGGGATTCGTATTTTCCCCATCCCGAAAATGATAAAACAAAGATATGAAAAAGAAAGGTCAACCCGTGTATTTCTTTTGATTCTTTGAACAAGAAAAAAATACCATTTTATATTTTATAATTGAGTAAACAAAAGATTTCTTATTTTTTTTACATACCCGAAAAAAAGGAATTTCATATTCATCCGCTCAAAACATTAGGAAATTCCAATAATTGCTTTGATAAAAAAAATGTTTATTTTTATTTGAATCTATATTTTTTAGTGATAATTTTTTTTTAATAAATTTACATTACATTATTCAATTATTTATTATTTATATAATAATATATAATAATAAATTTTTATAATATAAAAAAATTTTATTTAAATAATCAAAATTATAAACGAACTTCTACTCGATTTTTTTTTAGTCAAACTGATTCTGATTCTTTCCATCTTTCATTATTTAGTTGATTTTTCTCAAAAACAAAACTTTGTGACTTCCTTGTTGAAATAGATTGTGATAGCGAAAAAGCTTTCAACGCTGCCCAAAATAAGCTGTCTTTCGTTTTATGACAACATTGTCTTTTATGACAACATTATTACTTAATTTTTTTTATAACCAGAATTTTTCAAAAAATAGGTGATAGGTTACTATTTTCGCTTATTTTTTTATTTTTTTTTTGTGAATAATTATTTGTGTTTGTTGGTAAATTTTTAATATATTTTATGTAATATATTATTCGAATACAAACTAAAACAGGTAAATAGAAAAGGGGTTAATAGGTTAGTAAAATAAATAAAAAAATAAAAAAAAAACTATAAAATATTTTAATTGATGTGATTGATAAAGTTCTAAATAAAATAAGAAATTAAAAATAATAAAATAATATAAAAGAAATTAAACAAAATAATAATAATAAAAATGTATATTTTTAGCTATTAATATCAATTTTATCTATGAATTTGAAATCGAGCCGATTCTGTTCGAGTTCAGTAAAAATGAACTTAACCCTAATTAAAATGCTAATCCAACCCAATCCAACTCTTATAGTTCGGGTTAGGTTGATTCGAATTGTCGGGTTGAATATACACCCTTAATCACATCCATGGAACCTGACTGAGTGTCTTTATTGTAGTTTTATTTACTAAGTTAAAAATTTTAAATTAATTCATAAGAAAAGTGTTTGAATAAATTACATAAATTTTCAAACACTGTTTTTGTTACCGCGGTTAATTTATGTAGTAAATAAAATAAAATAAAATATATTTCCACAATCCCTCTATTTTACTCTTTTCTATCAGGCTTCCATTTACTGCAACAATTAACTGCCGTAAGAATAAATTCTTTTAATACAAAACGGGAAGAAAACTCCAACAGAAAGGAGATAAAAAGAAAAGCCAAAAGGAATCTGCCAGACCCAACCCTCAGACTCGGTAAAGCCCAAACCTATAGCCTTGGTAACGCCTAGACCCGAACCTCGCTGATCCAGGATTCCACCCGTGCAGCCCCGACTTGTACCAGCCCAACCTTGACCTAATTCACGCATGCATTGTAACGACCCTAAATTTCTACATAGTAAGAGTCGCTACTATCGTCTCATATAACTCTTAAAGAAAACATCGTCTACCATATAAATGTTGAAAACATTTAAAACATTCTTTCTCGAAAAGACTCTCATGGTCTTAAGTGTTTATATACGAAATTTAAATAAAATAAAAACAAATACAAAATAATTTAAAATAAATGAAATGCAAAACAACCTATTCTAATCTAAGACTAAGATGCTAGAAGAGTCGTGATTCTAGACAAATAAAGATAAAAGATAGACGATTCTAGAAGGTTCTTGTAGTTTTTCGTGTTTTTTGGGTCCTAACTTGAAACATATTTTCACGTCTTTCGTAATAGGCCTTATAAGAAGTAGCTGTTGGCTTATTGGCCCTTGATCTCACATTAATTAATTTCAATGAATTAATTATTGATGTTTTGATGATAACAAACCTACTTTTAATTATTAACTATTTTCAGTTTTTTGAACTGTCCACAGTATAAGGTCGGGAATAACGATTACAACAACTTTTCAATTACTCAAATCAGAGCTAAAACGAAGAAATTAGAGTCGAGACAACATACCCGACGTGATGATGTGGCAACAAAATCAAAATGATGGACAAATCAAAATATATCAAAGTATGACATTTATAATATTGGAAGAGTAACACATGGTGGAGTTTTTCTTATTATTACATTTCTAAATAAAATTATTTTTACAAATATAAATTTGAATATAACCGTTACTCACATCGAATTTTATTATTACTATATTATATTATTATATTATTATATTTTAAAATTTTGGTAGTTACTCACATCATTTTTATTATTATTATATTATTATATTTATAATAAATTTTGAATTACATTTTACCGTTACTCACATAACTTTTTATTATTATTATATTATATTACTATTATATTAAAATTTTGAAATAAATGAATTTAGAAAATTTTCTTACTTAATTACTTTTAATCTCCACCTTCCATTATTCCTAACACAATCCAATGGTCAATATTCAATCCTACATTTTGCCACTTTTCTCCTCTATATAAACTCATCTTCCCCACATTTTTAAAATATACAACTTACATACATTCTTCAATCCTCATTTGTTCAAAGTCTCCATTGTTTATTGCTCTCTCCAAGCTTACAAGTTTATTTCTTTTCATCTTATTCTTGAGAGGGATTATTATTATATTGTGAGGAAATAGTTGTCAGTATCCCAAATTGTAAATCTACTCTTTGAGAGAGTTGTGGTGTGTTATTATCAAACTCAAATACTTGTATCGGTTTGATCCTGCGTCGTTGAAAGGATTGAGTTTGCTCTTGAACTCGTAAAAAGAGCGGTGTACCGGTTTGGCTCTGATCCGTGGAAAGAGTCGGAAAAGTTCTTTATTCAAATTCCCAAGAGGCGCTTGGGGAGTGGAGTAGGTCGAGTTTGACCGAACCACTATAAAACTACGGTGTCATTTTCTCTAACTCTTTCCTATTTAATTTCAAGATTATTATTATGTTTATTGCATGTTCTACTTGATTATTGTTTTGACTTGAATTATTTTGTTTTAGTAATTATCATCTTCTACTTATTTGTAAAAAGTTTTATCATTAGAAAAATTAATCAAGTTTAAACACTTTTATCGTTAAAACCCTATTCACCCCCCCTCTAGGGTTGCCATACCGATCCAACAATTGGTATCAGAGCAGGTTGCTCCTATAGATTTTTTATCTAAACTTTATTGTTCGAGCTTATGGCAAACCTACGTGTTAAAAATGGTTTTAGTGAAGGACAATCAACTTCTAGGCCACCTTATTTTGATGGAACAAATTATACATGTTGGAAAGCTAGGATGAAAATTTATTTGCAATCCGTTGATTATCAATTGTGGTTAAATGTTAGTAATGGTCCTTACATTCCAATAAAAATTGTTAATAATATTGAGGTGCCTAAATTAGAAAATGAATTTGATGAGCATGATATGAAAAAATGTTCTTTGAATGCTAGTGCTATCAATTGTCTGTATTGTGCCTTAAGTAATGATGAATTTAATAGAGTATGTATGTGTTCTTCGGCATATGAAATTTGGAAAACTCTTGAAGTAACTCATGAGGGAACCAATCAAGTTAAAGAAACAAAAATTAGCATGTTAGTTCATAATTATGAACTATTTAAAATGGAGGAAAATGAACCTATTGGTGATATGTTTACTAGATTTACTAATATTTTAAATGCTTTGAAAAATCTTGGAAAAGTATATTCTACCTCCGAAAATGTAAGAAAAATTCTTAGGTCTCTGCCTAAAAGTTGGGAGGCAAAAGTGACGGCGATTCAAGAAGCAAAGGATCTCACAAAGCTTCCTTTGGATGAACTCATTGGTTCTCTCATGACACATGAGATTACCATGAACGGGCACATGGAAGAAGAATCCAAAAAGAAGAAAAGTATAGCCCTAAAATCCATCAAAGTTGACTCTGAAGATGAGGACGTCCTTGATGAAGATGATGTCGCCTACTTCACACGTAAGTATAAAAATTTTATTAAAAGGAAGAAACAATTAAAAAAACATTTCACAAATCAAAAAGAGTCAAAAGGTGAAAAGAGCAAAAACAATGAGGTAATATGTTATGAATGTAAAAAGCCGGGTCATATAAGAACGGATTGTCCTCTCCTCAAATCATCTAAGAAATCCAAGAAGAAAGCAATGAAGGCTACTTGGGATGATAGTGATGAAAGTGC